AACTGGTCGAAAGCCCAAATGATTCTAATAGGTAAAATTACTGCTCGTAGATGATAAATATACTGACAAGATCTATTATTCATCTCTCTCTCTTTTTTATTCACCTTCATATCAATGTAAGTTATGCATCATGATTAGGAACTACATATCTGCAACTTGTGTCCTACTTGAAACTACATAAACAAGAAATCTACAACTTGCTGATAAGAAATATCCATTCGTATATCTGACCGAAGAGAACTTTTGAAATAAATGGTTCAATAGCTAAAAAGAATAGTTAATCATCAATTGACACAAGAATGAAGCTAATAATAGCCTAATTCTATCGTGTAAAAATCAATCCACTTACTTGTGCAAGGACAGCAGCAGCCAATTGCAAACTAGGCTCCAAAGTCTCGGGAACAACCTGTCACAATATTTAATATTTATTCATCTAAAAGTTTGATTCAAGTTAAGAAGTGCAAATCTATAGTTCCTTGGTAGTTGTTAAGTTCACAGCTTAAAGCATGGATTACTAAAGTTCTTAAAGTGCCATTGCATGTAATGACAAACAGCACCTGAGATTACAAATTACCCCTCCAATCTATTTCCCTTCTATAAATTGCACCATCAAGAGGGTCAGGCATATATATACAAATCTCAAGGGGAAGATCACAACACTTCGAGGGCTATTTTGTAAATTTGACAGAAAACTATAGGCTTTTTAGGCAAATTTTATCCCAACGTAAGAGATGATTAGAGTAATGTATGAAACATACTGCTGTTGCCCCAGCCTTCTCTAAATTGAGGCCATGATCAACATCATGGGCACGGACAAATGTTTTGACATTGGGGAAATATTTGCTTAAAGCCCAAACAGCTCTGTAATTTGCTCCCGGACTATCTAGAGTTACTGCTGCTGCACATGCTCTTTCAGCACCAATTTTATGGAGAACCTGCACTCAGATAAAATAAGGAAGAAATAATAAGTCTAGAAATTTTAAACGATAGTTTTGGATAGAGACATATATTAAAGGGGCATTTAGGGGGCGATTGGATATGGATTAAATCGGTTAAACTTGGTGACTTAAAGTGAGTAAAGTGAGTTATTTTGAATAAAATAGATTTAAAATTAAATAATATTTAAAACGTAATTATTAAAGTTGATATAGTGTAAAAGTAAGAGAGAGATTATAGGAAGTGATAGGTAGTTAAAATGATGTTAATGGATGAATAGTGAATTAAGATGTGATGTGTGGGAATGATTAATTGGTATTGTTTAATTATATTTATAAAAAGTAAGAGAGATGAGTTGAGTTGGATTTTGAATTAGATGATTGGATATGAAATGACTCAACCGGATATAACCGGTTGAGTAGGATCATAACTCATATCCAATCACGCCCTTATAATTTTGGTAGATAGATGAGATGTGTGAGTCTAACCTACCTCTCGACTACCGGCATCACCAAAGTACACAGGAAGGTCAAGTGAACGTCCAATTGCAACTCGATCACTGGTAATAAAAGTTAAGAAAGCGGGTCACAAATCCATTTTCCAGAAAAACTTTTCCATCAGATTAAACATTCATAGATACAGTAATGATGAAAATAGTGGTACCTCCTGACATCAAGGGCAACGAATGGGATCAGTCGTTCAGAGAGAAGCTGGGCGATAATCTGAAAAAATTATTCAAGTGAAAATCAGATTCATGAGTGACAAAATCAATCTTGAGATTCATATATTAGGTTCACAATAACTGTAGTGGTATTAATGGAGCTCGAAGGTTGCACAATACCTGCCCAACACGTCCAAAACCACATATAATAATGTGATCTTGCAAATCATCCGTCTGAATAAATCCAAGGAAAAGAAAATTATTATACTTCATATTGGGTAAGTTGGAAGAGATGATATGAGGTGAAGATCCATATGTGATTTTATGATCTTGCAAAAAAAAAAAAAAAAAAAAA